CATGACATATGTCACTTCCAGGCAGAGGCTTCTTTCCTACTTACTCTTCTCTCAGTGCTCCCATAACTGGATGACCCAGGGTAAGGAGACCCTCAGCTGACCCAAGATGGATATGTAGTGTTATCAAGAAATAAAACTTTGTTTTGGATTGGTTGCCAAGATAGCATATCTCAGTCTATTGTAACTATTATGGAAATTTGTACAGGTAGTGGCGTGCTATTGTTTAAAAACAATTAAAACTTTAACATTTGTAAGAGTCTTTAGAGCTAGGCAGTAGGTGTGAAAGAATCTTATTGCAAGCTGGAAGAATAACAATTCAAGTTTGGCACAATAAAGTATTTGGTACAACTCTCACCTCAGGGTAGAGAGAAGACTTCTTGTTAAATGAGGCGTAAAAAGTGCAACCATGAAGGATTGATAAATTTAACATGAATTTATCTAAGCAACACCATAATCCATTGTTGTGGAGTCAATTCCGACTCATAGTGACCCTATAGGACAGAGTAGAACTGCCCCATAGGGTTTCCAAAGCTGAAAATCTTTAGGGAAGGAGACTGCCACATCCTTCTCCCTTTGATCTTGTCACCTGATGAAAACTTCACTCTGTCTTTGCAATTTGGGATACTATAGCATCCTGCTTGGGTCTTGTGTGTGTTTCCCATTTTCATGAAATGTTTTATCCTTCAATAAAAACTTTTATTTTTAGCAGAGTGTAAGTCTGGTGCTTCACTACGACAATATCAAACTACCAATTTACAGGAAATAAAGAGCAAAACATATGAAACTATACTATGGGGAGGCAATCAGCAAACTCCAGACTTTGAGAAACTCTGCAAGACAAACATGAGTTTCAAAGACAGACAGAGAGACAGAAAGGGAAAACATTAAACACAGGCAAAATTTAACTTAGCATTCAGGGATGAACACCTGAGTGATAAAATTATGTTAAAAAGTAAGGAAGTGGTTATCATGAAATCAGGCTGCTCTTAGTTGGGAAGGAGGGGCTGTGATTGGTAGGGTATGTGGAGGGCTTCTGGAGTGGATGAAAAAGTGTTATCTTCTTACCTGGGTGGTGGCTACAAGGGTATTCTTATAATAATTCATTAAGCTGTACATTTATTTTATGCCGTTTTCTGTGTCTGAATTTTTTTAACAATAAAGTTGAAAAATCATGGATAAAAAGCTAGTAAAATATTAGATTATGTTATAGTTAACATATATATTATATATATAGTTACAGCTGAGTTCGATCATGCATATCTGAATTCCATTTATATTATTAAAAATAAAACAGAATACAAGGTAAATGTCTGATAGTAAGGAAACCATTAACTAAATAAAACTTTGAATAGTGTATTATTCAGACATTAAAATAGTATTTGTAACATTTTGAAGATAGCAAAATAATGTTGTTTAACAAAACCTGAATAGAGAACTGTACATCTAATATGACCTCAGTTTTTGTAAAAATATGAACAGAAAAAAAAAACGGAGAAATTACAACAATAATAATATTAGTGGTCAAATTGCTAAGATTTATTGAGTGCTTACCATGTACAAGGCACTTTACAGGTATTACCTTATTTATGATTACCCCAAACTTAAGTAGTTATTTTATTATCACCTTCATAGTACTGATCAAGGAACAGTGAGATTAAGTAATGTGACCAAGGTCACAGAGCTTGTAAGTAATGAAGTCAGAGTTTAACCCTAGGTAGGTCCATTCAAAGTCTGAGAACATAATCACATAAGCCACAATGAATGAGTTTTGTAAAGACTTCTAAAAGTTGGATAACCATCCAACCTGGTTTATGCTTGTTGTCCTGACATTATTATTAATAAAGCCTCCCTTTTCATGTCCAAGGAGTTCCTGGGTGGCACAAATGGTTAACAAGCTTGGATGCTAACCTAAAGGCTGGAGTTTCAAGTCTACCCAGAGGTGCCTCAGAAGAAAAGCCTGGTGATCTACCACCAAAAAAAAAAAAAAAATCAGCCACTGAAAACCCTACGAAGCACAGTTCTGCTCTGACAGACTTGGGGTCACTATGAGTCAGAGTTGACTCGACGGCAATTGGTTCATGTCCAGAGTTGTGCAGTGACAAATGATACATGGTATGGCCACCCTACTTTGAAAGTCCCTCCCAGATCTCATGATTCTAAACTTTAGAAAGGAAAATTGTTACTTAATTCACTTAGGTCTTGACGGGTACATGATAGTGTGGAGAAATGGAATCAGCTGGGAACATTTCACCATTTGTTTTCTCCATCCATCACTCTAGAGAATAATTAGCTGAATATGGTGACTTCTGTTAATTGTGCCTGCTCCGTCCACACTGGACCCTAAGGAAACATTTAAGAGAATCTTTAGCTGGAAGCACCTCTCTTGCAGCAATGTCCAGTAGGAACCATGGTCGAAAAGCACAGAGCCTAGGGGAAGTGAGTGTCTGCATCCTGAATGCTCATATTATGATATCCTTATCCTGTAATTTCTGAAAGAACTCTGTGCACATCTGGGGATCAAGAGTATGGTCACCATACAGGTCCAGGAGAAGGCAGCACCTTCCAGACTTCACCAAGGCACACCTATCAGGAGCCTGACACCCACAAGAATATTTGGGTGGGTAAAATCAGAATGCGGGCAACTTGGCTTCTATGCTTGAAACTCTTTCCCCCTATTATTTTTTCTTCTTTTTGCAACTCTGCTCTCATATGCATTCAACCCAGATACTTCATGCATCCATGCTCAACACCTAATTTTTGTTTTCTAAAAAAATACCCATTCTCTCTCTTCCCTACCACAATGGGATTGTTGGAATTTTGGCAGAAAACAAGGTATTTGAGCTGATAGAAGTGCATCTAACGTGGAATTTCAGGGAGTAACAATGGGTGGAGTGAGGAATAGAGGGCGTGGAGGTTTTCAATAGCTTTCACCTGGACCATGGAGTCCAAATTTCTCACCTCCGAATAATCTCATTTTTTCCCCAGGAAATATTTTAAGTTGGCAAACTACCTTCAGGGTATGATAATCATTATTCCTCATTAATATAACAACTTCCATTTTTGAGAGTTTCCTATGTGACGCTGTATTACTTTCTTTACCTGCCATAATTAAAGTCACAAAAACGCTATGATGTGATGATCATTCCCGCTTCACTGATGAAAACACACAGACACACAGAAGTTAAGTAATTTGCCCAAAATCACAAAGCTAGTAAATGGTGGAGCCAAACACTACTCTGCTTCTCATAATTAATTTATTTTCCCATTCTTATTCATCAGAGATAATTAAAACTATGCTTAGTCTGAAATAGAGTAGCCAGGGAGAGTTGATGTAATTTTACTGCAATGCAATTTGATGTGCTATTTTGCATAAAATGGAGCCCTGGTGGCATAGTCTTTAAAGAGCTTGCTGCTAACCAAAATGTCTGCAGTTTGAACCCACCAACTGCTCCACAGGAGAAAGATGTAGCAGTCTCCTTCTGTAAAGATTATAGCCTTACAATCGACAGCAATGGTTATTTTGTAAAATGTATAATTTAATAGCTTTTTGAAATATTTACAGCTGTTCTGCAATGTCACCTTTACAGACCTGGGGGATATTAATCATCATAACAGTTGAGGTAAGGACTGATTTATTTTAGCTACAATTGATATTGGGTCAATATGACCTTTTACCCCACCAAATCTTATTTTGGAATCCCTGGGTAACACAAACAGTAAGGCACACTTGGCTACTAACTGAAAGGTTAGCAGTTCAAACCCAACCAGTGGCACCATGGAAGAAAGGCCTGGTGAACTGCTTCCATAAAGCTTACAACCAAGAAAACCCTAGGAAGCATTTCTACTCTGTAACACATGGGGCTGCCATGAATTGGGGGTCAACTTGACAGCAGCCAACAACAACAGAAATAAAAGATGAAATTCTTAGTTGGAAGTATTTATCTTAGTCTTAGTTTCTGACAAAGGCTGTGGGATTCTTTCAAAAAATGTGTGTCCTTCCCCTAGAGTGGATGAACCATTGGAGGCATCAAGAAAAATATAGGTGATTAGTACGGTTTTGCTTAGGAATGGATATAGCTATATTCAATCCTTCTGTTGGCTTTCAAAACAATATATACT